GGTTCCGGGTTCCGGGGTCCGGGGTCCGGGTTCCGGGTTCCGGGGTCCGGGTTCCGGGTTCCGGGGTTCCGGGGTTCCGGGGTTCCGGGGTTCCGGGGTTCCGGGGTTCCGGGGTTCCGGGGTTCCGGGGTTCCGGGTTCCGGGTTCCGGGTTCCGGGGGTCCGGGTTCCGGGGTCCGGGGTCCGGGTTCCGGGTTCCGGGTTCCGGGTTCCGGGTTCCGGGTTCCGGGTTCCGGGGTTCCGGGGTTCCGGGGTTCCGGGGTTCCGGGGTTCCGGGGGTTCCGGGGTTCCGGGGTCCGGGTTTCCGGGTTCCGGGTTCCGGGTCCGGGGTCCGGGGTCCGGGTCCGGGTCCGGGTTCCGGGTTCCGGGTTCCGGGTTCAGGGTTCCGGGGTCCGGGGTCCGGGGTCCGGGGTCCGGGGTCCGGGGTCCGGGGTCCGGGGTCCGGGGTCCGGGGTCCGGGGTCCGGGGTCCGGGTTCCGGGTTCCGGGTTCCGGGTTCCGGGTTCCGGGGTCCGGGCTCCGGGCTCCGGGCTCCGGGTTCCGGGGTCCGGGTTCCGGGTTCCGGGGTCCGGGGTCCGGGGTCCGGGTTCCGGGTTCCGGGTTCCGGGTTCCGGGTTCCGGGGTCCGGGTTCCGGGGTCCGGGGTCCGGGGTCCGGATTCCGGGTTCCGGGGTTCCGGGTTCCGGGTTCCGGGGTCCGGGGTCCGGGTTCCGGGTTCCGGGTTCCGGGTTCCGGGGCCGGGGTCCGGGGTCCGGGGTCCGGGTTCCGGGGTCCGGGTTCCGGGTTCCGGGTTCCGGGTTCCGGGGTCCGGGGTCCGGGGTCCGGGGTCCGGGGTCCGGGGTCCGGGGTCCGGGGTCCGGGCTACGGGGTCCGGGCTCCGGGCTCCGGGGTCCGGGGTCCGGGTTCCGGGTTCCGGGTTCCGGGTTCCGGGTTCCGGGTTCCGGGGTCCGGGTTCCGGGTTCCGGGTTCCGGGTTCCGGGGTCCGGGGTCTGGGCTCCGGGGTCCGGGGTCCGGGTTCCGGGTTCCGGGGTCCGGGTTCCGGGTTCCGGGTTCCGGGTTCCGGGTTCCGGGTTCCGGGGTCCGGGGTCCGGGTTCCGGGTTCCGGGTTCCGGGGTCCGGGTCCGGGGTCCGGGGTCCGGGTTCCGGGTTCCGGGCTCCGGGGTCCGGGGTCCGGGTTCCGGGTTCCGGGGTCCGGGTTCCGGGTTCCGGGTTCCGGGTTCCGGGGTCCGGGGTCCGGGTTCCGGGGTCCGGGGTCCGGGGTCCGGGGTCCGGGGTCCGGGGTCCGGGGTCCGGGGTCCGGGGTCCGGGTTCCGGGTTCCGGGTTCCGGGTTCCGGGGTCCGGGGTCCGGGGTCGGGGTCCGGGCTCCGGGCTCCGGGCTCCGGGGTCCGGGGTCCGGACTCCTCTGGTGTGCTAGCATACGGCCCAGGCCAGAGTCCTCTGAATCTGAAATCTCTGTTCTGTTATCTGATGATCCTTGTGATCTGAAGATCTCTGTTATCTGATGGGTAAAGTAACTAGAACTTTGTTCGAAATTACTTTATCTGTATCCTTAGCTAGAGTCTGATCCTAAGAGTAAAGGCTGAAATTAAAGTGCTAAAGAATTCAGTATTCAGAAAGCTAGACAATGTCTATGAATTTGAATAAGGTTTATGTGTAATTATTTTCTTAATGGATATATGCTTTCAGCTAAATGATTATTTCTATGTGAAATTGTGTTACTGTATCCTTTAAAATTATGGATATGTTACAAAAAGATCCGAAATATGGATATGTTATGAATATGAAATTCTGACAAATGCCTCATGATTTATGTACCTATTTCTTAAGTGATAAATTCACAAGTATATTATGTGAAATAACAGTATTAGTTAAATTTGACTTCTATGATGATAATGTGAAATATGTTTTACGTATACGTTTTAATTATGTAAATTGGCTATAATAATATTGATATTTCTTTTTCAATTATTTGAGTAACAAATATACATACATATTTGTTATCACATGTTATATTATAGTACCACTCAGCAATTCATTGCTGAGCATGTAGTCTTTTCTACACGTAGGTGAGAAGAGATTCAAATGGAGCCTCGGGACAAGGAGACATCTGGACATGATTGCATTGCGTGTGTTTTGTCTTGTTGTCGTATGACCATGCCAATATTATTTTAAAAGTTAATGTGATTTGATTAATTTAAGTTTTGGATAAGTTAAATGTAATTGAACAATTATTTTGTGACAATCTATTACAGTTTTCTAAGTAAGCTTTTGATTAATAAGGCTTATTAAAACAAAGTCAAAACTGGACTTTTATTTTATATTTTAATTAATCCATAATTTTATCGGGAATTTTTAATAAAAGATAATCGACAGTGACATCCGCCCCGAACCGGCCAGACCGGGTGGGGTGGGTGTTACATGGACATTGATTTTGCCAATTTCGAACTTCAATTTCATATTTTCACAAAGTCATCAGATACTCTGCAAAACTTTTGAAGAAATCAGATCCAAAAGTAATACATAGACAATAAGTAGTCCGTATATAGACAATAAGTTCTAATAATAGCTCAATAGCAGACAATACATAGACAATAAGTAGTCATTAATCAGACAATAAATTCTGATAATAGCTCAATAACAGAGCAGGTAACGTAAAACTGGGAGGACATTGAACTTGACCTTGAAATTGGGAGGAAAGGCTTATTAGCATCGTCCCAGGGAGGATATTGAACTCGATCTCACGGATAGTTCTCCATGGCCGTGATTGCTACGAAATTGATTTTTTGCCTTTGTGTGTGTTTACGTTTCCGGCGATGACAGGCGACGACCTCTCTAGCGACAGCGATGAATGGCGGTGAACTATGTTGTAATCTGCGACGAGGAGATGAGTCGATTTCCTCGGACTCGTCTTCTCCTTTGTTGACCTCCAATGAAGAAGGGCAAAAATGGAAAGAAACAATAACATTTGCTAAAATAGAGCTAAAATAACCCTACGGATGGCAAAAACATGGACGAGTCTTACTTTTGTAAACTGCATATGATTTGGTCTTACGCAAGGCAATTTTCTCAAACCATTATATGTTATGCATAAAAACCCTTTGAATGGGACGAAATTAAAGGATTAAAGGATGTACTTTTTATTAAAAAAATGAAAAACATACTCGAATAAAGGATGTACTTTTTTTTATAGCATTAAAAGAGTGTCAGAGATTTCCCCAAAATGGGACTAACTTTCTCATTCTACCCTTACTTTGTTTTAATACAATTCATATTTCATTAATAATCAAAATTAGAAAGGAATATGGAGACCCAACGACCTCCTAGAACCACGAGCTCCGATTGTAGAAAAAAAAATACACCAACATGTCAAAGATTCCATCTTGATGACAGTATTCGAGAATGTTTTGACATTTTCAAAGAGTAAAAATGTTATCTTTATGGCACTTTCAAAGAAAAATGACATTTTTTTACACAAAATGGTTTTTGTACTGAACATAGGTAACATCACTGGGCAGTGGCCGAGGCTGTGGAGAAGGCCTCCATATTTTTCTATATTTTCTAAGGTGTTTTGTCTATTTTATTTATTTTTAAAATTTTTCTATTTTTAATAAAATTTATTATCATTTTTTAAGTTTTTACAACTTTTTGTATAAGTTAAAATGTTTTTTTCTATTACAAATTAAAATAAGATTATCCTATTAACTTATGATAACGGTAGATTAGGAAGATAGAGTATATTTTAGTCCTATTTAAAAAAAAATATAGTCCTATTTGTGTGTTTAGGGAGTAGTTTAGTTCTATTTAGGACTATTATCTCAAGAGTATTTCATGACGGAAATTACCAAAAAAAAATTGCGGTACTTAAAGCCCGTTTGATAACACTGTTATTCGACTTATAAGGCTTACCCGTCAACTCTTTCACCAAACACGTAACTTTTGATTTCTCGTGCTAAACTGTGTAATAATAAGAAAAGTAATGTTGGAGTTACTTTTCTGCCTGTTTCGATTGAAGTTACTATAGAGGACAATTTTAGCTATTTTTACATATAATTTTTTTCTTTATTTATTAATAAAATATATTTTAAATATAACTTTTTCACAAAAGAACACATCTTCAGAGGCAATCATGGCGGCCACAAAGAATACATGTCATGACGCCTTCATTCAATAAAATTTGATCTTTTCGTCAATAAATAAATGCTCCATATTTTATAATATTTGATGTTGACGATGATCGAGACAGCTTAGTCCTAGAAATGGTCTTCTCTCTAGCTTTCGTCTAGGGTTTATCTTTTCGACAGACGGCTTGCATCGTTTTTTGTCCGGCGAATGATTTGGAGCGAGAGTGAGAGGGCGGTCGTTATCTCGCTCTGCCTCTCCATGATTTGCTTCTCTATTGTTGATGTTTATGAATGTGCTGCTATAGATTGGATTTGGAGGCCGGTCTGTGATGGATACCTTCGATTGGAAAATCATCTCGCAATTTTTGGATCGATTTTTGAGCAAGGCAGAAGAGTGATCGATGCCCTGGAGCGACCGAGGTGTTAGGGTTTGGAGTATTTGTCAATTATTTTATTTTGTTATGATTTTTCTTTCGCATTAAGTTTGTTTTTGTTGATCAGTTTTTTGTTGATGTCTTTTGTTTTAGGTCTTCAATAAGGATTCAAAATTCTGCTAGATATTATGTCGTTAGAAGAATCAATATGACCGTTTTTAAGTATAGCCATAAGATTGAAAGTACTAGTCGAGGGGGGCTGGGGGGAACCTGGAGTAATCTGAAACCCACTCCATTGAGTTTCACACCTTTTTGTGCCTAGCGGGATTCGAACTCGAGACCTCCCATTAGGCACGGTAACCTCACAACCAGCTGGGCTGGAATGCTTTAATTTACGGATATTTGGTGTTAGAGTTGGTCTCGTTGAATTTGTTGTACAATCTCAACCTTACTAATGTTAATGTAACCACCTAAGCAGAACATCATAAATTTCATAATGAATTATATTCCGCCGGTTTCAATGTTACCACACATATGAAGAAAGAAATACTCTACATTGTCGAACATATTTGAGCCGCAGGATACAAAACAGATCCATCATCTTCGCTCGCAGGCCATCGCGTTCCTTCACCCATCATCTTCGCTGGCCAACTGCTGTTTTCTTCTTCGCTCATCAGAAATCACATCCCAGTTGGCAACCTTTTCATTCTCCATCTTCATCATCTTCCTTCATAAACAACTCTTCTCCCATCATTGGAATCAACCAGAGCTCAACAGTACGGAAGCAATTCTTCTCTCCATTTGAATTTGAAAATTCAGGTATTGATTCCCGTTTAATTTTCTTTGAATTTTTTTCTTTTCAGTTCTTGATTCAATTTTTGATTCCAGTTTTTTCTATGGCCACTTAGGGATTGTTTGATTCCCATAGAAAGTTTTTTTTTTTTTCAAATTTGGATTCCACTTTCAACTCATTTTCTGGCAAATGGTTATCCTCCATTCCCGTTTTTTCTCATTTGAAATTTTGTTTCTTCCATACCTGCTAGCTTCAGTAGCCTCATCCGTCAAAAGCTCTTTATTCAAATTTGTATCTCGGTTATAACTAAAGGTTTCGTTTCTCTTTGAATTTTCCAGATCTTCTGTTTTTGTTATTACTTCGCATCCATTTCATCCATTTCAAATCTTACTCTTCATTCCATATTATTGGTGTGTGAAAACTGATTTATTTTGTATTTAGTTTTGTAGTTACGTACTCGTACTATTTTATTTGATTTTTATATTCAAAGTAGTAGATGATCTATCAATGATTTAAAATGTTCTGTGATCTTGTGTTCTAATCAAAGATTGAAGCTTGCTTTGGGTGGTCTCTGTTTTCTGAAAATCAAACTACTTATAAGAACAGAAAAATAAAAATCAACAGGGTGAACCGTTGCCCAAATAATCAACGAAAAAAAATACCGTTCCCCAGAGCCAAAAGGCTAAACCAACTTTTATTCACCGATGATTAAGAATGAAGCATACAAGGGGTATAAATAACCTACTAATGACAGACTCCAAAATAAGCCCAAAATAAATAACTCCTAATTAGGCCCATAATAACTCTACTAAATACTCTACTAATAATAGGCCCAAACTAAAACATAACATTAACTTAATAATAATAAATAAACTATAATGACAGCCCTAACCCGGTCCACGAAAGTGGGCCCGAACTCGGTCCCGCCCCATGTTCTTCCTACTCTCTATCAACTACACATAAGAAAGTAACTTTTCCTAACAAGTTCTTTACCTTTCTCTAGCATATTCAGAGACCAAAACTGGTTTATGTATCTTGTAGGAAGTATGTAAAATGTATTTCATTGAAAAAATTAGAGGCTAAAGAAATTAGTCTTAGAGTGTGAAATTTCAATGCCTTTACCGTATCAAAACTCAGAAATTCTACAACTATTTGAGCACCCCACCCCCCATATAAATTGCTTCTGTTAGCAAAGATATCCCATATATCAAAGATTCAGAATGATAATCTAATGAAGGGACTATACTAAACATGCATCGGAAAATGAATCTATTAGAATTCATAAGTCATAACAAAGAAACCAATCCTTAAGGGCAAAAACTAAAGGGAAAACTGTCAAATAAGTCCTTGAACTTTCATAAAAAGGTCAATTAAGTCCTTCTATAGGAGGTTCTGTCCGGCCGTCGCGATTTGGGGCAGTTCCTGGTGGAATTTTTTGATGAATTTTTTTGAGCATCTTATTCACCAAGTCTAGTTTATTCATACCAAATTTCAGCTAAAAATTCAATCGGGAACACATTCAAATTAATTCTTGAAGATAACTGCGCATTTTTGTGTTCTCGAATTAATTTGAATGCGCTCCCGATTAAATTTTTAGCTGAAATTTGGTATGAGTAAACTAGACTTGATGAATAAGGTGCTCAAAAAATTTCATCAAAAAATTCCACTAGGAACCGCCCCAAATCGCGACGACCGGACAGAGTCTCCTATAGGACTTAATTGACTTTTTTATGAAAGTTTGAGGGCCTATTTGACAGTTTTCCCAAAACTAAACTATTCTTAAAGGGACCTCTGGTGAATCCAATCCTGTCCAGGGGCAGGAAGATATAGGGCGGCTGTGCATTTTAGTTATACTTTAGGTTACAAATATTGCTTAAGCAATACAACAACAACATCCAAGCCTTAATCCCAAAAGATTTTTGGGTCAGCTAACATGAATCGATGCATGATATCGATGCTAAAAAGAGAAGACAGAAAAAGGGAAAAAAGTAAGATAAAACGGATAAGATAAAGATAAATAAATATTAAATAGAAATAACATAAAAATAAAAGAAAGATAAAAGATAAAAAGATAAAAGAGCAAAGAAAACGAAAAGATAAAAATAATATAAGAACAAAAGAGATAAAGAGGATAAACGATAAAAGAAACAGAGAGAGGAAAGATATTGAAGCCAATCCAAAGAAGATGTTGATACTTAAGATTTCTTGTGGGGAAAACATCTGCCCTAATTCTGTGCAGCAAAATGTAAAAACTACTATAGAGAAGCATGAGTACACACAAATTTACCAATTTGCATATGATGAAGAATAGCAGAATAGTATATCTATAAAGCAAACTAAAAATCAATTTAAACCACACATTTAGTAAAGGGAACATTCTGTAATGTAAATGAAATTAGATTCACATTCAGTTCGCTTCGGATGAAGAATTTAAGGACCTGAAAAACTACTTACTAAAAACCTACTTACTTAAAAAGGTTTAACACATTCGTAAAAACTCAACAAAAATGTGTGTGTGTGTGTAATCTATAAATACATATAGTTAAAAAAAGTAGTTAACCTCATAATCTATGCTTACATACATATTGCTATCAGAGTATAAGAAGCCTTGACCAACTTTTAACCAATAACATTACCCTATTTATGCATGAAGTTGGAGCCTGGTGCAAGTGAGATGAACTGTGCAATATAAATTTAATGCACCAGCTGGGTTGCAATAATGGTGAATTAAGAATGTATTATGGGACTTATCCTGCTGGAATGTTATTAGGGCTGTTAACGAGCCGAGCCGAGTCCGAACACCTAAAGCTCAAGTTCGGCTCGATATGGAATTAATAGTGTTCGGGTTTGAGCTCAAAGCTCGGAGAGCTTTACAAATGAGGCTCGTGTTCGGCTCGATAGACGTTCGATGTTTGAACCGAGCGCTCGATAAGCTCGATAAATATGGTCGTTAATAGGTGATGCTCGTTAATAGACTCGTGCTCGAATGATTCGACAAGTATTCGGTTCGTTAATAAACATATTTAAATTCATAAAATTATACTAGTACTAATTATATTTAAATTGTGATTATATATAAATTATATTTTTAATTTCAGGGTGCTCGATAGGCTCGAGTTCGAACCGAGCCTAATACTACTATGTTCGAGCTCGGCTCGATTAATTTTTCGAACTTAAAACTCAGCTCTGGTTCGAGTTCGAAAGCTCGTTAAGCTTGGCTCGTTAGGTTCGAAACCGAGCTCGAACTCGAATAGTTCGATAAAAGCTCGGTTCGTTAACAACCCTAGTTATTAGTTTTCTTATCCTGCTGGAATGTTACTCTCTTTTTAGTATGTATCTCTAAAACTGTATTTTTTAGATCATTCTTTGACTATTTTTCGAAAAGTGCTGGATTATTTTACAGATATTGAGTATATTTAAAATTTGTTTGATTTGCATTTTATAGAGCATTTTTCATATGCTTGGCCAGGGCTATAAAACTCTTCTAGGATTATGCTTGGCCAGGACTTTAGTTAAGACATTATTTTGTTTGATTTTCAATCTAAAGTTTAAAATTGTGCATGTTTTCTGTATTGATTTGGAATCCAAACGTACTTTCTAATGCTTCTTTTTGTACAAATAGATGCATGTTTATTTTTACATGCAATGCTCCCTTTAGAATATGTTCCATCTAGGGTTTTACTTCCCTGAGTATTTTATATATTTTTTGCATAACAATGACAATTTGGTTTATAATTACCTCCTAGCATAGCAATACTCAAAACTAAGAGGAATTGAAAGACTATAACTTTCATGTTTTAATTGTAAGATAAATGAAAAGGAAACTTTCTTTGGTATGTGCACACACCCACCTTTTAAACCCTAACTGAAATTATCAGTTATTACTATAGGACAATGTGGTGCTTTCAGGAGCCTGAGCACTTGATGTGGTGGCTATGTGGTGATTATTCCCTTGCTTCATTATTTATGTTTTCTATTTTTTTTATTCTTCTTAAGTTCTAGGCTAAAGGCTTTATGTTTTATCTTAAAACTATATAGATTCTATTTTCTGATTCTTTATATATCAATACTACAGAGGCAGTTTAAAAACATTAAAGTTTACTCATTACATCTTAAGAACTGGAGTTGCATGTGATAGCTTGATTAAAGTATGGGGTTGTCTAGACTGATTTTGACCATCACTAGAGATAGGTTGATATGGTTGATATAGCTGTCTGATCTTAACATTCATTTTTTTGAAATCCTTAGTATTATATACGGAGTAGTTTATAAACCAGATTTATAAACCAGATTTTTACCTCTACATTAGGGGTCTGGGGTTGTAATTTGCTTTTTGATGGTGGCTGGTGGGTTTCTGTTCTTTATATTTATAGAAATTCAATTAGAGAAACATGTGATGCTTAGTTCGTTCTAGATTTTTTGCGCCATTCAGGGGTATGTTTAGCTCACTTTCTATGAGCATATGAATATTGTGAGAATGGTAACATCTCAAGAGAAAATAGTCATCTTAATAGACTTCAAACCAACTCTAATAGGATAGAAACTGACTCTAAACTAAATCATATGAAGTTAAAAAAACTCTTCAAGTTAGAGTTTTTGAATTATTAGCCTAGGATTCCTAAGAACTCAAGATCTCATGTATTACTTGAACTTTTCTACTTGACATTAAAATTTTGAGTTACATAATGCTAAAACCCAAGTAAGTGAGGCAACATAATTATATTTTAAAAAGTATATCAATCACTGCTATTTGGTGTGAGTAGTGCTGTAGTTATGACTTGATTGTTTTACTCAAAAAAGTGTATGGTGTACTTTATCATTCTCACAACTCAAATCCTTAATAATTCATTAAAATTAGGGAAGATAGACCTAAGTAGGAGTAAAATAACCCCTAAGTGCACAAATAGGACTATAATGTGTATTTTCCCTAAAATTTCAAATCATAATGACTACTTTGTACTTACGAATACAGGAGTGAGGGTGGTATAAAACTACATGACACATTGGTGTCAGAGTTGGCACATATGCATCAACTCTACAATGTTTAAAATGAGACTTATTGGGAAATGTAGTTCAGACGGACGTACTTATAGTACTCAAAGCGTTTCAGAATTAGCAGCTTTAATTGAGGGGGATTTTGATTTGAATATAAGATTGAGGAATGCTATCCTTCAAACAAAATCTCGGGAATTTTAGTTTATGACTGAACTGAAGCCTTCCTTTTTAGGATTACAATACCCACTAATATTCCCTTACGGTCAAGATACTTTAAAGAAGACGTTTTATTGACGTGTGCGATGAGGTATATTATACGGAATATGTGAAGTTTATTATATGTGATGATGACGGAAAACCAGAAGTATATAATAATTTGTAATTTTTTTTATCTTCATTTCCTTTTGTTAAAAACAGTATACTCCCCCCGTATTTAAAAGATCACTTCATTAAGTCTTGGAATAATATTTTAAAGGGAAATAGTAGGGGTAATTAATACCCTAGAAAAGTAGGGGAGAAGGTGATAAGTAAGAAAGAGAAGATTAAAAATAGAATGTAAGGGTAAATGAGTACTTTTAATGAAAAGCTTACCAAATAGGAAAAATGTTGCAAAATTTTAAATACATCCCAAATCGCAAAGTGTAGCAAACTTTTAAATAGGGAGAGATTATGTATTGTTCTATTTTGATCGCAACATTTTTATATATATGCAAATAATTTGTCACTAACTGCATTTGCACGGGTGAAAAATCTTGTAGAACTATAGAAGAAAAACAATGGAGCACCTAAACCCACTGTCAACCCTTCCATCAGAGATCAGCCGGGACATATTTTCAAGACTGGAAGGGAGGCAGCTGTTGATAGCCCAATGTGTGAGCAAAGAGTGGTACTCCTTCATACAACACATCAAGCTCTCCTACACCGGGCAGTCGCGAACTCTCCTCCTCACGCTTAGACCCTGCAGGGACGGAGAACATTGGGAAGTGAGATCAATAAGCCCTGATCTTAACAGCCAAAGACTGCCCGATTTCACATGCCATCTTTCTCCGGTCAACCATTATGCTAATGCTTATAGCTCAAGAGTTTGGGGTTCTTGCAATGGGTTTGTGCTGGTTGCATATGGAAAACACATTCTGATGTGGAACCCACTTATCAGCTGGTCTACTAAAGTTCTGGAGCTGCAAAGCCTCCATGGATATATAGTGATGGGAGGGCTTTGTTACAATCCATTCACGTCAGATTACAAGGCTGTCTTATTACTTAGAACTCCGGAAGAGGTCCATGGTCAATGTGTTATTGTTTCTAGTCTGAAAAATAAGGAGTGGACAGAAGTGTCCTTTCCATATCTCTATATGGCTTCCCGAGATAGTGTCAACTTTAACAATACACTCCATTGGATAGTAAGATCTGAACATGGGCATATCCATGATTTTTTTTATGATATGAGATGCTGCAATAGCATTGTTTACTTCGATCCGGTTGATGACACTTTCAAAATGTTGCCCTCCCCTAAGCCGATTAGTCCAGAAGAAGAAGACTCTGTAGTCGGTGCAGGAATCATAGATGGATGTTTCTGCATGGCTCGGAAGGATAGAAAGAGGCAAGTGATCCAAGTTTCAGTTATGAAAGAATATGGAAAAGCAGAGTCTTGGGTCACATCCTTTTCCATGTCCATCTCGAGATTTGCACCACAGGATGCTTACGACCTCAGGTTTTTGTCTCAAAATGGGAATAAGGTACTGGTCACATCTCGCAGTTATGGGAGAACTTATGTTTATGTTGTTGAAGAAGACAAACTAGAACGAGTAGGTTTTGATGGTGATTGCATAATCAGTGCTTGTATTTGTTTCTACGTTGGATGTTTTGATTTGCCACGTGAAGTTAGTTGGGGGTATGATGATGATGAGCACGAATGTAGCAGGTTTTGCTTATGATTATAAAAATATTTACTATGGGGTTTAGTTATCAATATGTCAGATCAGATAGCTGATAACTAATAGTCTGATGAAGAGCATATATATAGAGCATTTCTGGATTTTTATGATGCAGTTATATATATTCAACCGGTGCTATTTTATCCTTTGGAATGTCATTTCATACCTTTTCCCATAGAATGACTATATTTAGCCATCTTTGGGGGTGTGGTACTCTGGTGTATGATCTTAAGGAGTTTTGAACTTAAGCCCCCTTTGGAAATTCAGAAAGCAACTAGAAAGGATATGAATCCTCATGTATGTATGGATTCATCTTGCTTATCTTCTTTGAGTTCATACTCTTACTCTTGACTTTATTAGTAAAAAATAATAATGTGTGAATGTGTTTATTTCAGAGTATCTTTTATGAATAATAACGATATTAAATAGGGTCCATCATATGCCTTGTCCACTATTGGATTGTTATTATACTTCTATTAGATTATTAAGTGAACTCTAAATCCAACCATTCATGATCTAAGACTTCAAAGATGAATTGAACTATGTATTTTGAAGCTGTTCCGTTCACCTGATCTGAATATTTCTGATTTGAATTTTTTAAGTTCTGATCTGATCTGAATTTTTCTGATCTGATCTGATCTGAATTTTTCTGATCTGATCTGATCTGAATCTTTCTGATCTGATCTGAACGTTGCTGAACTGATCTGAATGTTGCTGATCTGATCTGATCTGAATGTTTCTGATCTGATCTGAATGTTTCTGATCTGATCTGAATTCTTCTGATCTGAATCTTTCTGATCCGATTTGAATATTTCTATAATTGTAATTATAATTATAATTATTAGATTTATAATTGTAATTAAAAATATAACTTAAATAAAATTACAATTATAATCATAATTATAAAAAAATAATAATTAAAATTAAATTTAAAATTATAATAATTATACCAATTACACTAATTATAAATACAGATACAATTATAAATGTAATTATATTTTTAATTATGATTAATTTTATAATTATTTTTTTTGTAATTATAATTATAATATTTATCTCTATAATCATAATTATATCTATAATTACTAATTTAAATATATAATTACTCCGAAGTAATAATAATTACAAAAATAACAACAAGAACAACAATCATATTAATAATAATGATGATTATAATTATAATTACATTTTAAATCATAATTATAATTATAATTATATTATATTATATTGTATTGTATTGTATTGTATTGTATTGTATTGTATTGTATTGTATTGTATTGTATTGTATTGTATTGTATTGTATTGTATTGTATTGTATTGTATTGTATTGTATTGTATTGTATTGTATTGTATTGTATTGTATTGTATTGTATTGTATTGTATTGTATTGTATTGTATTGTATTGTATTGTATTGTATTGTATTGTATTGTATTGTATTGTATTGTATTGTATTGTATTGTATTGTATTGTATTGTATTGTATTGTATTGTATTGTATTGTATTGTATTGTATTGTATTGTATTGTATTGTATTGTATTGTATTGTATTGTATTGTATTGTATTGTATTGTATTGTATTGTATTGTATTGTATTGTATTGTATTGTATTGTATTGTATTGTATTGTATTGTATTGTATTGTATTGTATTGTATTGTATTGTATTGTATTGTATTGTATTATATTATATTATATTATATTATATTATATTATATTATATTATATCATATCATATCATATCATATCATATCATATCATATCATATCATATCATATCATATCATATCATATCATATCATATCATATCATATCATATCATATCATATCATATCATATCATATCATATCATATCATATTATATTATATTATATTATATTATATTATATTATATTATATTATGTTATATTATATTATATTATATTATATTATTATAATATAATAATAATTTTATATTATTAACATTATTATTATATTATTATTAATAATATTATTATATTAATATATTAATATTATTAACAATAACTATAATATAATAATCATAATTAATATAATAATAAAAGTGATAAATCATGTTTGAATTTTTTGATCTGATCTGATCTGATCTGAATGTTTCTGATCTGATCTGAATGTTTCTGATCTGGTCTGATCTGGTCTGAATCTTTCTGATCTGATCTGAATGTTGCTGATCTGATCTGAATCTTTCTGATCTGATCTGAATGTTTCTGATCTGATCTGATCTGAATCTTTCTGATCTGATCTGATCTGATCTGAATAAAATAAGATTAAGGAATAAGTAATAAGATTAAGACGAACGGAATAGCTTCTTTGTAGTGAAGTTCCTGCTTCCAGATGTCCATAGCTATCTCAGTGCACAAGAAAAGATGGTCAATATAGTTGGAAGAATGATATAAATATCACCTTTAGACTTTTGGAACACAAAATTAGACTTGTTTTTCTAAATAACCTTAAATAAAAAAAGGAAAAATTCACGTCAATAATCCCAACTATCGACAGTCTTCCAATATTAATCCCACCTATAAATAATTCTAGAATAATCTAAATTATAAGGAGCATATTCTCAAAACAATCAGGTGACCTGCGTAAACCCATTCAGCAGGTCACCCGGACACGTGTCAGATTATTACTGGTCTATCATTTTCTTTTCTTAATCCTTTTGTTCCTTCTTCTTCCTCTCTGCGCATTCCTCTTTTCTTCCTTCTTCCTCTATGCGCATTTCTTTTCTTTTCACCATTTCCCTTCCGTTTTCTTCCTTCTTCACTGGTAAGGTGTACAACTTCACAGACCATGATTTGGTTGATTTTCATTTTTTTTTTTCGTTTAATTTAGGAATATTTAAATTGGTAAAACCCAATTCCAATTTTCCCTTATCGAATTTGGCTTCGATCAAATTTAAGAAGCTCTGTATTTACTTCTAATTTGTTAGAAGCTCACTCAGCCTTTGCTTTTTAAAAAATTATCTTCTCTACATTTTCTTTTCTTTTCTTGGGGCTTGAGCATAAAGTGTTTTTAGCAGAGTACAGACAACAGCTTGTCCATATTCCATGGTTGCTGTCCAGACCAGCCGTAGATCGTCGTCGGGCGTCCATCTCAGTTGCTCTTCACCATCGGTTTTCCATCTGACCTAGTTGTTCTTCAATTGATTGCCGTCCAAGTGTCTAATCCTATTGGTTCTTCTACGAGGGCCCTCCGTCCATCCCAATCTTTTTATCGTCAACACTCGTCCCTCTCATCCCAGCTAGTCTGGTCTCCATCGTCGGTCGTCCGTCATCTCGTAGCGGCTCAACTATTTTTTCTTTTTTCTTTTTACTTGTGTTTACCGGCTGAGTAAGTTATAGGTAAACCGGATCAATAAGGGAAGGAGGCCTGTAAACTTGAGATTATTCTAGAATTACTTATATGTGGGATTAATATTGGAAGACTGATGACAGTTGGGATTATTAATGTGAATTTTTCCTAAAAAAAATCATATTCCTTGTTTTTCAAGGCCCTACAGAAAACATTTTACCTCATCATTCTCCATCTGGATGGGAAAGATTGAATGAAAGAAATTCAATCGTCGTCTCCCAAAATACAGAGCCAGGGCACTTAATTAGTCTGCAGCTCTAATAAATCACGGAACAGCTTGCAATCCCACAAAGATCAGTCTACAAAACAATGGTTGCAGTGCATCTTATGAAAAAAGGTTAACATGATGTCCATTTTGATCAAAATTGGTATACATACTTTTTTACTGAAAATCGTGTCCATTCTTTTGTTCAATTCTATAATCTTTGTGCAGGATGATTTCCAGCGTTTAGATGTCCTAAAGTACATACCATATCTCGATTGTTATGATATAGTTATATATAGAGTATATTTAATTGGTTTTATTTTATGCTTTGGAATATCATATCTTTTCCGATAGGATGACACATATAATAAGCAGTCTTTGGGGTCTCGTAAAGAGGGTTAATTAGACTATGAATCATGGTCCCTTGATTATCTATTGAGTATTGACTTAAGTGTATGATCTTAAGGAGCACTGAACCTATATAAGGGTTTCATTAAGCAGTCTTTGGGGTCTATCTGGTGAAGGCAAAAATGGAGTTATTTCTGTTTCAACTAAGAGTATCTCACAACAGTTGGAAGGCAACTAGTTTTTTTTCTTAACCCAGTGGCAAACCATCAGCTAGGGAACACCTTACCAATAAATAAATAACATAAAGTAACATACAATACGGTAGGGGGGCCAGGAAAAAACCTACCAAAAGGTCAAAAGAGGGAAGTGTTATTGTAAAGTTCATTTATATTTACTTTTCTAATATTAACTTTGACATTAAAATATTTTGAAATGTTTTGTAATATTTGCACTTTTTTTTGTTCTGGACTTCTGTACTGCAGTTACATTTTTTCCCCTTCAGTACTGCAGTAGTGCAGTTACATATACTTAGTATTTAATTGGTGTTATTTTCTGCTTTGGAAAATCCTATGTTTTCCCATTCAATGAATTATACTCTGTAATTAGAAGCAAGCTTGGGGTGTCAGATGAAGAGGGTTAGACTTTGGTCCCTTGATTATCCTTCGACTATATACTGTGCATGGAGATGTTTATGTACTTCTTTTTCCAGAAATGGTTTTATTGAATGTGTTTAGAGCAATTCAATTCCATTAGCTCAGTTTTTCAAAAGGCTTCGTCCTCAGGCTATCAAATTTTCACCATCTTTTGCAATTTCATCCATAGTGTGGCATTACATTCCCTTCAAGTAAAACTGGAATGTGACATTTAAATTAGCAGAAACCAACAGGGGTGGACGTACAATATAATGAGGGTAAGCATAGGCTACACCTCAAAAAATGTTGTTAGCCTATGTGGACATGTGGTAGTATTAGGGAAATTAAGTTCTTAGTGCTACAGGTCGAGGGATCGATAATTTCTGATGCTTCACGTTGCTTTTGTTTCAAACCAATATATAATTATATCACTAATCACAGCACAAATAGCACAACTATTCTCTTATACTGTATTAATTATTAATAATAATTATTAGTCGAGAGTTTATTTATCCTGCCTTAGCTTTGCTTAGCTTATATCGGACTGCATGACCTCATTCTTCTTCTTCCATACAATCCACACATATACTTTATTGGGTGCTAGCAACTTTGGTATTGCATAATCTCTGCATTCCCTTGCATCTCAATATCAATCCTTTTTTCTCCGAGAGCTTTAATCTCATATCTTATGAGTTGTGAGCAAAGAATAAAAAAATTGTTTAAACAAAGATAGCTATTAATATAATTATACAATGAGCATATAAACACAAAGGTAGTAGCGATAGACGTAAAATTTCAAACCTTGCGGATAATGTGTAGGTATCTGTAACAACTGCAAAAACCGTTGTTTGGCTTTCCCTAATTTGATATATCTGTAAATGTTTGGTGGGGGTGGGTGTTATA